TATTTTCAAATACATTAAAACGTAACAATTGATAGTTTAGAACATTTTTTAACATAGTAGTTACGTTATTAAGTGTTCAAAATGTGCTCAATTTGTGAGTTGACAGCACCCTAATCGATGGTAGAAGGCGTCTACCACATTTCTCCATGATTGTCTAGAAATTATTCGAGATTCATTGATAATTCGTTGCCTTAGCTCTGCAAGACTTGCTGGTTAAGTTTTGTAAACTGAATTTTTCAAGTATCCCTAATAAAAATAATCTTTAGGATTGAAATCGGGTGAACGTGGAGGCCATTCAATTCTACCTTGTCTACCAATTTATCGTCCAGGAAATATCTCTTCTAAATATCGCCGAACATTTACACCAACTATCTGACGTTAAATTTCTTTCGACAAAAAATGACCCAATTGAATAAGTAACAACTATATCTGACCATACATTTAATTTTTGTGGTCTTTGAGTATGGTTTTCACGCATTCAGTCTTCAGTGTGAATTTACGTCACACCAGTACCTTAAATTGTGTCGATTTACACTTCCACACAGTGTAAAAGTTGCTTCATCGGAAAAACATATTCTGTTAACGAAATTTTAATAATTTTCAATTTTATCCATCATTACCTCAGTAAACTCTAATCTACGACCAAAGTCATCTTCACTTAATTCTTGCAATAAGTTAATTTTGTATGATTTAAATTTATTTTTACGTAATAAACGTAAGACTGAAGAATGACCTACATCATGTACTTGTGCAACCCTGCCTGGGGATGTATGTGGATCTTCAACAAAACTTTGGTTATATCTGAAGTTTTGTTGTCATTGATAACTCGTTTCGGTCAACCTGATCGGTATCTATCTTTTACTTCTCCAGATTCCTCAAATCGCCTTACAGTTTTTTGTACCGTCGTCTTATGAATAGGAGAACGGCATTTTAGAGAAGCAATTTAAATTGCAGAACTTTTTGAACCACAACTACTGTCAATTTTAGTTCATAATTTAAATGGTGAACAAATGTCAAAATCACAGCATTCTCCATTTAAATTTATTAAAATCTACTTATTTTGCTCTGTTTTATGTATTTAAGATCTTTCAGACTACATAAAATCAAGTGAACATATGGTTGAACTCGTATTGAATAGCTAAACTCGTGTGAAATTCACACTGAATGCGTGAAAACCATACTCAAAGACCACAAAAATTAAATGTATGGTCAGTTATAGTAAGTACTTATTTAATTGGGCCATTTTTTATCGAAAGAAATTTAACGTCAGATAGTTGGTGTAAATGTTCGGCGTTATTTAGGTGAGATATTTCCCGGACGATAAATTGGTAGACAAGGTACAATTGAATGGCCCTAACGTTCACCCGATCTCAATCCTAAAGATTATTTTTATTAGAGATACTTGAAAAATTCAGTTTACAAAACTTAACAAGCAAGTCTTGCATAGCTAAGGCAATGAATTATCGATGAATCTCGAATAATTTCTAGACAATCATGGAGAAATGTGGTAAACGCATTCTACCATCGATTAGAGTGCTTGTCAACTCACAAATGGAGCACATTTTGAACACTTAATAACGTAACTATTATGTTAAAAAATATTCTAAACTATCAATTGTTACGTTTTAATGTATTTGAAAATAGTTAGTATTAAAAAATGTATTGAAACAATTTAGGCGTTGCCAGACTTCTGTTTTATGTATTTAAGACCTTCCAGACTACATAAAATCATAAGTGTTACATATGGTTGAACTCGTATTTAATAGGAGATTCCAATAATGACTGAATATACAGGGTGATGCATTTGAAAAACCAAAGTTACTAGTAATATAAGAGAAACTGAAAATCTGGCAACATTGCAAATACCAAATATGGAATCTCCGTATCCCAAAATAGGCGTATCTCAAATTTTGTATAATTATGTCTAGTAATTTACGAGATAATTAGCCGTTTCCAGACTTTTGGGCCACTCTGTATCTTCCATGAAAGTATTTGGATATTATGATTCTTAGGAATTCACTATAATAGGATTGTTGAGGGATTTGAATAACGTTTTGCTTAGATTATAAAGATAGCAGTTAACTATAATATTCTTTTTTCTTTTTTTTTTGTAGTGTAAGATATTTGTAGCGTTTTCTCTGCTACTTTTTTGAAGAAATTTTAGCTATCATAAAGGACCTTCTACATTGACCGGCAATAAAACCGGACTCTCTGAAACCTTTAAAAAAATCCCCTTAAATATTTATTAATTCTACTTAATGAGGCTTTTGGATTAAACAGCCATTATTTGGCGATACATAGACGAATGTTAAGAGTAAAAGATCTAGCTTAGATATAATTAGATAATTTTATGGAACAAAATAACAGATACGCAGAAATACATGTTTGTTTGCATCTTTCTTGTTGATTACTAGTATTCATAAAGGGCCTTCCGCGCCGACCGGAAGAAATCGCACACTATGAAAAAAAGCCCTAAATATTAATATACTCTACTTAACCAGGCTCCATATTATTGGAGATAGAACCATTTATTGGCGATATGAAAAGTAAATACTTTACATAGAATTAGATTATTTTATGGAAGAAAATAATAGAATTGCAAAAATATTTTTTCTTTGCCATTTTTCTGAAAAATACTAGTGATCATAATGACGTTCTACACTGATTGGCAAAAAAACCGGACACTCAGAAATCTTTCAAAAAGTCCTTAAATATTCATTAATTCTGCTTAATAAGACTTTTGGTTAAAAAAAACAAATATTAGCGGTATGGAAAGCAAATCCCAAAAGTAAAAAGACTAGTTTACATAGAATTCGATAACTTTCTTCTTCTTTTTAACGTGCCCTATCACGAAAATTCAGGAACGAAGTTTGATTGCTACTTTCCTGAAGAATATTATTAATCCTAATGAACCTCTTTTACCGGACGACAACAAAGCCAGACACTCTAAAATCTTCTTAAAGGAACACTTATAATATTCATTATTTCTACTTAAGGACAGTTTTTGGTTAGAGAACCATGTATTGGGGATCTTAAAGGCAAATTCTTAACGTAAAAAAGACTAGTTCACATACAATTAGATAATTTTATGAAAGAAAATAATAGAAACGCAAAAATACAGATTTGTTTTCCTATTTCCCTGGAGAATATTAGTGGTGATCATAATGGACCTTCTACACTAACCGGCAAAAACACCGGACATTATGAATAATTACAATAAAAGCCTTTTTATATTAATTTATTTGCTTAATGCACTTTTTGATTAAAGAAGTTGTGACTCAGTTTACATTTAGTGAGTATGTCATTTAACTGGCTAGTCAGAAAGAGTATGGTAACATGATTTAAAATATTGTCTATTCCACAAGCTAATAAATATGCCACACCTATCAATATATCGTCAAATATGTCAGTATCTACGGAGGTATCAACTTTTAATAAAGTTCTCTGGCTTGATTATAATCAGCTTCAGTTGAAACGAATTGTACTTCAACATTTAAAATGTTTTATATATTTACTTTGTTAATATAATCGTTTGTTGTAAATATCCATTTGATTATATATGTACATGTTATGTTATTGCATCCTAGGGCTTGTGTGATCTCGATTATCTGTCAAAATTTCATATCTTTTTTGATAATTTTATAGTGACTCATTGTTAGAGATTTGTGCCAATTATCGTGTTAAGTTAATATCAAATTTTTGAATATTTTGTACTTACTTTAGTATTTGTAATAAAGATACTATGTTAAATTGCGTTTTTTATTCACTTAGTGTTTAAGAGGAATGTAAGAGGAAAGCGATAGCAGTGCTCTGCAGCGACTGCATGCATCCAATTCACAGAACACTAAAAAATTGAGCTTTTGTAGGTTATCGACACGTGTTCTACGAGAAGAAGGTAGCGTTTATAGTATAAAACTTTTAATTTTCATTTCAAAAATGCATGCTAAAATATTTTCCACCTAAGAAGACTGCTTTACAATTAAATGCTGGCAACTTTATTACTAGCGGACCAGATAAGCGGCGATCTATTTTATACTACCTTTATGAATAACAATAACAACGCCCCGCTGATCATATCTTAATTGCATATTGGCCCATCGGCATAGTTCAGGTGAGTTCGAACATACCATTCAATGACATATGTGTCTTCTGTATGTAATATTAGGCGTGATGTTGACTCGGAATGAGCAGATAGCACGAATAACCAAGAGGACAGTAACTAAACCGAACAACATAACTAATGGTAGCCAAAGAGTAGCTTGTCTTTAAATCACACCAGGGCTTTGAGAGACACACCAACGGCAGCTATGGAGAGCCTACTGGATATCTCTTCGGTACACACAGTTACGTGGGGGAAGAATAGAATGAAATATTCACGAAAGATAACAAAGGGAGGGGATAGAAGCCCAAAAAAGCAATGGATACCGCAAAATCTAATAGTACCTAATACTTGAAGCATAGAAAGAAATAAAATATGGTAGTCTGACAAATATTAATAAACTATTCATCATTTACTTAAAAAACGCTTCTAAATGATAATGTAAATATTGAATTTTTCATAGACTACGTCGTTTGATAATTATTAATATTAATATTATTTGATTTAATCCTGTTTCTTTGTAAATACGCTATCTTGTGTTAGTTCACTCACATCAGTCTTAATCTCTTGTGTGTCTAAAAAAACACATGTAATATCTTTTTCTCATGTTTTAATTATAACAATCAGAGATATATGTAAACAATACAGTTTTTTGATAAATGTGTTCCTATTAATTATGCAACCAGTAATACTTTAAAAATTTTGTGATTTATATACAAAACTTATGACTATTGATATGTAGAATGAAATGGCACATTCGCCAAAATTTAAACTCAATATTTTTACTACTTTAACTAATAAAACGCAAAATTTGGCTTTCTTGTTTTAATATCTTACTTTTTACTCATGCAATAGTAAAATAAGTAGCTTAAAAAGTGGAAAAGGTATTAAAACACAAATGTAATTTCTAAAAACAATATGTATTTCTTTCTTAACCTAAATAAATACATTTTATACATTCTCAAATTATTCAAAGAACTTGAGTAGCAACACTGTTTGTAAAGTATATAAAAGCACCAGTCAGGTTTATGAATGTAGCACCAAGAAATACAGACATCCACTTTCCGTTTGAGTAAGTCACTAAGCTCGCTGTTACTGGTCCACAAAGTATTCCCGGAATAGTTGCAATGGTATTACTTATAGCGAATGTTGTCCCCGCGTAATTTGGAGCAATGTCTACGTGATTACTTAAATGCCCCGCCGAATTACTGGCAGAAAGACCCATGGATATACTAACGAGAATGAGAGCGAACGCCAAGTGATCAACGACACAGAAAATTGCTAGAAACAAAGCTGGTCCAATCAGTCCTATACTTGTCATAAGTCTTCTTACATTTAAAACAGACCAACTCTTATTTCCAAGTAACCCATCAGCTACATGCCCACTTATTACACCAAATATAGAGTTCACAATGTATGGTACCGCAGTTAAACTTAAACTATGAGCATTACCCCCTAAGTATCTGGATAAATATGTTGGTAACCACTGCATTATAATGTACGACGACCAGTTCATTGCAAAATGGGCCGTATATATCGCCCACAACGGTTTACTAAATATGAAATCGGCCCAGCGGATATTGTGTGATATCACCTTTGGCATATGTAACGGTAAAGTTTCTTCACTGCTAAAGCCGTCTTCAGGATAAAAACAGTGCCACAGAACGATCCAGAGGAATCCGAAGGACCCAAACCAGTAAAAACATGCTTCCCACGATAAGTGTGGACATACTACAGAAGCAACTGTTTGGCCGACAGATCCTGATGCCAAGAGGTATGAAAAGGCTCTCGATCGTTCTTCTACTGGTATGTTATGAGCAAACAGATGGAATATTGTGGGTAATCCTAAAAATAAAAAAAATTAATGATAAATTTCGAGATGTGTTTTTTGTTGTTTTTTATTCAATATATATTTAAATAAGGAAGTATAAATAAATAAGTAAATAAATCCTACAGTTATGTGTGCAAAATCAGTGACAGCTTAGCCAGTTTTGAGCTGTTTTTTAAACAGAGGAAGTTTTCAGCAAAAAGAAAAGTAACAAAATGAATAATTTATGAAATTTGTCAAGCTGTGTGAGCAAGTATTATAAGAAGCCTGGAAATACTGTCCAGTCTATTATAAGGAGCATGGAAATACTGTCCAGTCTACAAATCAGCACAGAGGCTAACAAGAATTTCACATTATATATCATTTATCACGCAAAGAACAAATACTGTGCCAAGTTTGTGGAGGGGATAACACCAGAAAAATTAGTTCATTTAAAAAATACATCAATAGTTAACATCTTGCCTGCCGTCTCGGTCTATGTGACCGAGAAAAAAATTGCTCTGCACGCCAGTGTGGTCTATTTGACCGAAAATATTAATGTAACTGTGATGCCGTCTCAGTGACTATGGCATGTACGGAAAGTATTACAAAATCCTCTGCGGCAGCCAACGTGTTAAAAAATGCTCATTTAGCTACATTATATTAATTTTTTAAGATGATAATGTGGTATAACAAAGTTTAATACTTGTCACACTATTTCTCCCACTACAAATCTAATGTAATCTGAAAAATTCATTGAGCTAGAGAAAAAGCATTCAAAGCATCCAGAATTGGTTCACTCTACAGAAGATCCTTCATTATTTCCTGAAGTTAGTAAGAAACCAATACCTATAGAAACTGTACCTCCAAAACCACAACAGAGAAAACGCCAGGAACAGGGAAGAAATTCCAAAAAAAAACAGGAAGAAAATCCTGAAAAATTTATATAAAAAAAGTTAAAAACCACTAGTGCTCTTATTAATGCATCAGCTATATTCTGTAAAATACACATTTTTAATTAATTGAACACAATATTGAAATAGACAATAAGTGGGTGCATACTGACCTAATCCTTCTGCAAATCCAAGTATTATCCTACAAGCAATAAGAGATACAAGACTTCCAGCTAGAAATGGTGTTGTGAATGTTGCAATACTCCATAACAGCACACTGCAAATTAATACATTCTTTGCTCCCACTTGAGTTGCCCAAAAACTTCCTAAAACAATTAAAATTAGCAGTATTAGAAGTTATATAAATTTGGAAAATATACTGTATATATTCATGTCAGCAAACTTATTATTAATCAACAAATCATATTACACTTGGTAGTACATGTCATAGGAAAGGAGAAAGTGATAAACATAGATGGGCAAAACCTTTTAGCTATTGTATAAAATCGAATGCCCTATGTCCAAACTTCTCTATGAATGATGAGAAATAATTCGAAGTTGAATGTTGAGGAGTAAATGATTTATTGGTAACTTAAAATAAGTACACTCACTGTAACTTCAAAAATGAACTTGTCTGAACCTGCTATTTTTACTATTTATAATATATGTTAAAATAGGATGTTGTAAATTACAGAATCTCCTGAAGATGGCTACATAGACTTTACAAAGGCTTTTGACCGGGTAAATCACAAGATTTTAATCAATAAGTTGAGGAATCTGGGTATCCAGGGTAAACTTTTAGAATGGTTGTTATCCTACCTAACTGAAAGAATACAAATAGCATGTGTTCAGGGTTTTCCATCATTTGAGATTGAGGTACTTTCAGGAGTACCACAAGGATCACACCTAGGACTCCTTCTATTCAATAACTATGTTAATGACATTGCCTCCTGTATACTCTTTTCTTCTTTCCTAATGTTTGCTGACGATTTAAAATTATATTTAAAAATTGAGAATGATGGTGACTATCAAAAACTACAGTCTGATTTGGATCGGTTGAGCTATTGATGTGACAGTAACGGAATGGAACTTAACGTTAAAAAGTGTCATTTAATAGTTTTTTGTTGGAATAAAACTCCTACAAATCATATCTATACTATCAATGGTTGCCTTTTAGCCTCTGTATCTCAGATAAAAGACCAGGTGTTGTGCTAGTTTCCAACTTTTCCTACATCCCCCATATCTCATCTGTTGTCTCAAAATCACTTCAACTTTTAGGGTTTATCAAATGTTGTGCTAAAGAGTTTCTAAAAATTTTGTATTGTTCACTTGTGAGACCCCACCTAGATTACTGTTCATGTGTTTGGTCTCCTCACTATAACACTCATATTCAAGCTATTGAGAGAGTTCAACACAAATTCTTAAGATTTGTTGCATTTAAAGCAAACCAGAGGATTGAAGAAATTAACTATTCAAATATGGAAAGGTCCCTCAACATAACTTCCCTCCAAATCCGATTCATGCACAAGGATCTCAATATGTTTTATAGTATACTGCACTCTATTATTTTTGGTCCTCAACTATAGGAAAAAATTAATCTCCATATTCTCAGTAGGCAAGCAAGGCTAAATCAACCCTTTTATGTTAAACCCCATCGCACAAACTACAGACTCAATTCATTAACATCTAGAACACCAAGGTTTCCTAATCATTATTCCCAAAGGTTGGATTGTTATAGTATTCCAAAATGTATTATTAGCTTATGTAGAAGTCTGCGCTTAGGTACACGGTCAAAGGCTTTAGAAAAATCTAGATAAACAACGTCGACCGGCTGCGAACTGTTAAGGGATGAGGTCCAGTCGTTAACACAATGTAGGAGATTGGTTAGAGTAGAGCGACCAGATACAAATCCATGTTGTTGTGTTGGAATAACATGTTCCTGGAGAAGGAATTTGGTCATCTCCTCGGAAATAATGGCTTCCATAACTTTGGCAACTACTGGCAGCAAGCTAATCGGACGATAATTGTTGGGATCGAGTTTGTTGCCTTTTTTAAAAATAGGGGTAACGGAAGCTAATTTCCAACTAGGGGGTAAGGAGTTTTGGATGAAAGAGGTTTGCATAATTAACGTTAAGGGTATTGCAAGCGTGTCTGCGCACCTTTTTAACAGTTTTGGTGTTAAACCATCTAAACCAGGTGAAGCGGCCGTGCGAAGTTTAATTAAGTGTTGTTTGACATGATCCACTGTGAATTCAATTTGCTGTAAGGATGCGCCGACACGATTACAGTTAACAGCAGGTAGATAACCATCATTTAATTCTTTAGTAAAAACCTGTGAAAATGCTAAAGAGAGAGTTTCGGAAGATTCTTTGTCAGAAGAGCATAAAGTCTGGTTGGATTTTTGAAGTAGCGGAATGGAAACTTTAGATGTCATGGAGGAACGTATGTATTTATAGACTTTTTTAATGTTACCACTTTCAATAACGTTTGCTTCAAAATTTTGTCTTAGGGTTTTTAGAGATGTTTTTAAGTTATTTGAAAATCTGCGGTGGTTTTGGAAATCACTAAGAAGCCCGGTGTGTTTAAATTTTCGCCATAGATGTCGTTTGTGATTAATTTGTTTAATTGCTGTTCGATTGATCCAGGGTTTGAGGTTGTTTTTATAACTCTTACGGAAAATAGTATTTGTAGAAATTATATTGTGGACTTTATTGAGAAATGCAGTCCACATTAATGAGGGGTCGTTTAAGTCTGCAAAAAATAAATGCCAGTCGATTTGAGAGAGTTCAGTGTCAACTTCAGAAAAGTCGGTAGTAGCATATGTTACAATGTTATTTTTGCGGGGTAATATTTGATTGAACTGGATGTGAGCCGTTATAACTGCATGATCTGACTTTCCTATGGGAGAACTGACTTCGAGAGATGAAATCAGCTGTTCGTCATTAATAAGCACTAGATCTAAAGTAGAAGGTTGGTTATTATTCCTAAATCTAGTAGGTTCTGTAATGAGTTGTATCAGGTTTGAATTTACTACAAAGCTTTTAAATAAATTATGAGCGTTTTCGGCGTCAGATAATGAAGTTATTGGCCAGGTGATCTCTGGGAAATTAAAATCTCCAGTAATGATAAGATTATCAAGAGATGATAGTTCTTCAAGTTTTGTGAAGAAAACATTATCGTGTGCAAGTAGTGTATTAGGTGGACGATATATACATACTAGATTAAGGCAAAAAGAATTTTTAGTAACAGATAAGTGAATTGCATCTATTCCAGTAATATCTATTAGCTTAAGGTTAATTTTGAAAGTTGTGGTAATAATATTGGATAAATAAATGCATACACCGCCACCCACACGATTTTCTCTGTCTTTACGATATATTGTATATCCATTTATATTAACAGAGGAGTCAGGAATTGTGGGTTTGAGCCAGGATTCGGCAATACAGATAATGTCCGGTTTAAGAAGTTGCACTGTGCATACAAATTCGTCAAACTTAGCGGAAAGTGAATCTAAATTAGTATATAGAAATAGCCAGTCATTAAATTTGTTGGTAGAAAAATTATGAACGAAATTTCGTGATTCTGGGAGTGCCATTGATGTATTTAATAGTTAAATCATGTTCACCGTTATTTTTGCGAGTTTCTAGCTCACTTCGGAGTTCTTTTAAACGTACTTGTTGGATGGGCGTCTTGTCGTCAATTATTGAAAATTTTTCCGTGGCTTTGTTTTCCAGAAGTTTGGCTTTATTTCTCAGAATATCTTTAACGTGGTATTCCGAACCCATCACTACCTTTATCATTCGGGGAAATCGTTGGTTTGCTTTGCCGACTCTGTAGAAGGTGATTTGCTTTTCCTGGCAGCCAACAGTATCCAAAACAAGCTTCACCTTATTCGCGTCATCATCTTTTCTGCGTTGTACATCCCCAGAGGAAGATTCTGTTACGCCTCTAATTAGAATATTTTTAGCGCGTGTTATACGATCTACAGCTTCGTTAGCGATATTATCCGTGAATTCGGTAGACTTAAATAAATTAATCTGGCTGAGCTTATCGTTTAACTCAGTTATTTTATTATCAAAATCATCAATTTTCGCACGAATTTCCATTTTAAAATCTAGCAGAAGATCTTTTATTTCTGAAATATTAGAAATATTGGAGCTGCAAGAGTTACAGAGTATGTTCAGTACTCGAATTTTCTGTCGGGTGACGCGGTCCTCCGATGAAAGGTCGGTGCATGTGATATGTATTTGTCGCTTACATCCATCGCACTGGAGTTTGCGGTCAGCTGTCGCTATGGTTTTCGAGCAGTTCGAACAAAAAGAGGTGGACGGCATTGTCCGGTTTTTTGTGTATGTAATTAGTATTTGGTTTTATATTAATATATTGTGGTATGATACTCACAGTAATTATTCGTTGTAACTGCACTTTTTACACAAAATTTTTACAAAAACTACTGACTATTGATATATGGAACAATCATGCAAAATTTCTTTGCGAAATAATTATTTTGTACAGAATAATCGTGAAAATCAATACGAGCACAAAATTTTACGTGTGTCGTCAACCAACTAGCAGGTTGTACTATGTACACTTAATACAACAGTGTATGTTTTTTATTAGTATATATCATTAATAATTGTTAAAGTCATGACATAATATTTGCATTGTCAGTTGATCAATTAGAGTAAAGTTCATATTGAATTAAAATAGAATGTTAACTATACATTGTCAATAATATCATTGTACTCACAAAGAAAATATCACAGATGTTTCCATAATGCACAAAACTTACTCATTTATTTACTTACCCAATAACTGACTAGTAAAGTAACCAAATGCAAATGCTGATAGAATCCACCCTTGAGCATGTAAGGACCAGCCAAAAATATCGGTCATTGGTACAATAGCTATGGGCATTATTACTCTATCGGCACTGTTTATAAAATTTGCAAAACTGCATAGTGCCACTATCCTGGAGGTCCTAGTTAACCAACGTATTCTCGCCATTTTTAAATTATCTGAAAATTCTTTGTACTAAACAATGGCACAACTATTTTACTATTAGTAATTTACTCAGCAATTTTGTTTACATGGTCTATTTTCAAATTCATCCTTTTGGATGTGCCTGCACAGCTGGCATTTTAGATTACACCTTTGACAATAAAAGTAATTGTCAACATGACAGCTACCAAATGACCGAATGTCATACAATTCAACACAACAACAAACATTTTTTGTTTTGGTTCCAATCAAGTGAAAGACGTAGTTGTCAGAATAATATAGTAAACGTGGATATATAATTAATGTTGTGTAGTTTAAAAAAACTGGTGAACAATGTCTAAACAACATTTGAAATTTTAATTTCATTACAAAAATTGCCTGAACTAATGAATAACATGCAAATGACACATGTCATTATTAGTGACATTGACAATTTCCATAATTTATTATTGTAATTTTCTCACAACATCTAAAGCAATCCTAGTTTGGCCTTGTAGAAGCCTTTAAATCGAACATTTCCGTCCTACATTTACAAAATTTAACAGTGAAAATGCATATTTGTACGAGAATGGCGTGAATATATAATAATCTGTCAACAAATTTCTAACCTGCCTCAAAATGTCATACCAGTTTTCCTTGACTAATGGAAAACAAAAACGATTTTCCATTGACGATGCTTTTGAAGAAGAAACGGACGAAGCCATAAAAGTGTACGGAACCGCAGGCCCTAGATCACCTATATCTAGTTCTAGAATTATGGTCGGCGATGGTGATCATGTAGCTGTTAACATGGAAAATGGAAGGTAAGTATCTATGTATTTTCGGCAAATGTAACATACTGAATAACGTTCAAAAACAGGACAATATATTTCGAAATGCTTGTTAATAAATCCGTTATTTAACCATCCGCTCACAATACATCCAGAACTATTTATTCTTTTTTAACTGTAAGTTCTTAATTGAGGAATAACTTACTGCATAAGTATGAGCTACGTAATGAATTTTTGTGTCATACATATGTAATTATGCAAAACTATGTGGCAGCTCAGTTTACATATCTGATAAATTGTATAATAATCTATAATATATAATAATGTGAACAGAAACAGTAAAAGCAATGTTGTCCATATCAATTAGTAAGTTACACTATATACTATAAACAAGTTGGTATGGAATTTCCATATCAACATGCAAGATTTTTTATTAAAAATGCTGTTTATTTAGATGTGTTTTACATATTATTCATGTGTTAAATCCTCATAAAAGGCATGGTGGTCACCAGCTAAAATATGTTGAAAAGGCCATACTATGATGGAAGCAGATTCAGTTCATTTAACTTTGGAATATTACTTTCAGCCTCCAATTAATTCACCGATGGCTTACGTTACTAGAAGGTGTCTTGCTCAGCCAAAACATCTATATAATATTAAAAACATAGATTTTACATTCTGTAAAAAGTACGCTATTGACAGCAACTTTCGTTCAATAAGACCTGGAAAAAATGCTGAAGATCCTCAAGTTGTAGATATAAGACAATTAAAATATAGTCCAATGGAGAGGTATACTACACCACTGATTACTCAGATAACTGGAAGCTACTACCACACAGAAGAGAAAGCCAAGACCTGTCAGTTTATGAAAACTTGCTCTTCAAGACACCTCCTGAAATATCAGAAGACAAGTTCAAACATCTACAACACCTCAAATCAGTTATTGAAAAAGATCATCATCACTTTTACCATACTCTTCCTAAAATCAACAAAAAATAATACTTTCGGGGTTGTTCTAAAAATATCATACACTGATACTACATGTCGAAGTTTGTTTATTTAAAATAAAGATAATACAAATCACTTTACTGCGTACATGACTCTTTTTCCCCCAATAACACCAAATTCAAGGTGTATAGTACCATGACATGCCATACACAATATTTGAAATACCTGCTATGTACAGGTTCAATCATTTATAATTTCTCCAATGTGCACATTTGTAATATTTTTTTTTAATGTTTTGTACTGATTTAAGGAATCAATTTCACCTTAATATCAATATCAATCTTAGTTTGGCCAAAAAAATCAATTACAAATTTACTTAATACAATATAAAATAGCTTTATTTAACTGGTTTTTGTGTCTCCTGTAAAATTAGCATATTTTTACATTGGAGATATTTTATTCCTAACGACGATATGTTAAATCATAATAATGTATAATTAGATTATTTAATTGTGAATGAATTATTTTTTATAGAAGTTACAAAATGGCCAACGACACATCCAGAGATAGTGATTCTTTGATACAAGATTATTATGATTGTCCTAATGAAGAAAATTTCAGTAGATCATGTTTCAAGCATCCAAAAGTTAAAGAAAATTGGAGGATGGTACTGGCAGCAGCAACTTTACTAATAATAGGGATAGGATTACTAGCAACAGGTAGTGTTACATTAGCAGAGCCTAATTCTGGTTTGCAAGGTTTGGTGTTCTTATTAGCTGGATTTATCTGCTTTTTACCTGGAGCATATCATATTGTATATATATATTTGGCTGCTAAGGGTAAACGTGGGTATCACTTTCACAATTTGCCCTTGTTTACTTAAAAACTATGAGGTTAAATTTTAAGTTGTTAATTCTTGGGATCTGTTAGCAATAGCCTATAAAACATGTATAGATTATAATAATAGTAACAATAACATTGCTATGTGCCATATATTTTGCAAGAGAGTATTTTTATACGAAAATAAGAGCTTACAGCTGAAGGTAAAACTGTTACACATTTATTCATCAGTGTATTTTTACAATATATTGCAATGGCAGAATTATACATTATATTTGGATCACTAAAGGCAATTTACATTTAATGTATCTATGCTTGTACTTTTAAATGGGAGCAGTAGGTCATTTTTAATATCATAAAACATTCCAATCTCTTTGATATTGTTAATATCTAGACCATATAGAAGGATGTAAATCATATAGTAACTGATTAACCAAATGCATTGCTCATTTTCATCACTTGATTTTGTCCTCACTCTCTCACAATCTCTGTCTTTGAATATTTTCTGGTCATTTGTTCCTTATGGTCAGCACACATGCACATATTTAAAATAAACACATTTACTAGATCAAAAAAGACTTTTTAGTGATTCAAATGTGATGTTTAAGGCCTGAGTAATTCTATGCCAAGTGAGCAAAATTGGGAACATTTGCCAATTAGAAGCTAAAAATCCAGTTTGGATAGGGTGTCAATACCACTCCATTTAACTGATTCACACTGTTAACTGCTGAGTAAACAACTTACATTGATTTAGCAGTCAAATTTTTATGATGAGGAATAACCGTGAAAAAATTTCAGATAAATTGAAGGGGTCAATCTTAATATTGCTCACTTGTTGTGGAATTATTCCTCTTCATTATATCTATATCTTACAGTTACCGATTTTCATTTAAAGTGATATAATTATCCCAAAAATTAACAGAAAGTTTACCTAATTATTAAATCGTTATAGGGGCAGGTAGAATTGGTTATTAAATTATTTATAGACATTTTTATAAATTAGATCTGATTGGTCTTAGCCCTAAAATTTTATGTTTTTATATTGTATTAATTAGTACAATATGTTCAATAAATTTGAGTAAAGTATCAGATTATTATCGCTTTCGTTAATTTTATATAGTAAGTGAAATTTTATATAAAAATATACTTTCCATAGATACTTTAATAGGGGCTTGGATTATTTTTCTTGTGATTTTCGATTTTAAATCAAAATTGATCTCGGAAAATTAGGTAGAATTATGTAGATAAATATTAAAAAAAAATGGTATTAAATCTAGCAATAAAATTGCACTTTGCTTTATGAAAACTGGCACATTTACGACAAGTTGTGTTTTTTATTTTTTCCGATTAAGTTACTGCAAATATTAAATGTTTAATACCAAAAAGTTTTACTTACTGACTTTCTCTTTATAATAGTAATACTCTCCCTTTATACTGCTAGTGTGTCTTTGGGATTATAGCATTATGGTCTGCTATATCTTGGGCCTATCCTAATCTATCCAGCCTTTTAAATGGCCGGCTAGCTCAGGTGGTATAAACTCTATCTTTATCTTGTCATAAATTAATTACTATGGATTGTGATTTACTAGTAATATAATCATTTACTAGTAATGCATAATGAAGTGGCTGTCTCATTCTCTAACTGAAGAATTCGATATAAACAGCTTTTAGTTTTTGCGGGATGAGCAGTCCAGGAGCAGTGTTCTCCAACACCACGTCACAAATGCATCAATATTTTGGTACTCTTATAATCAAGGAGTCCATGTTTCGGTATCATATAGAAACATTGAGAAAACTATCTTTCCATATCTTTGCAATCGCATCTCTTTTTCACAGTTCCATTTTTAGTCATCATAGAACCAAAAGAATTGTTGTTGTTTACATCTCATACACATGTAAGCGGCCTGTTAGTTGTACAATGTGAAATATGTCTACTCCATTATCTTTGTCTTGCTTTTATTCATTTTTAGGCAGACTTTCTTGCTCTCAAATTCGATTATTCGGTAAATATTATAAAAGGTGAATAAAAGTAGGTGACAGTGATAATCGTGCAGGCTAGTGTACAACGCCCTCTCGTGACGACGGTAACAATAATCTAACGCCAACTTAAATCCTAAATCCCTAAATCTTCGAAATTCATTGATTTCTGTTGAAGCTTTTTTGTTCCTTAAGTTATCTCGGGATAGAGAAAAAGATATTGTCATTCGCCAATTTAATATTTTTTAGAAAAAACTAGATTTCTACAGAACAAAAGTCACTTATTACATTACTTTAATATTGTTATTTTTCATTGTTGGCAAAAAACAGTTTTTAATAAGATTAAGTTTGAAAAAATCGTTTAAGTAGTACTGGGTTATAGCTATTCTTTTATAAAAATGTTCCTACTCTCATTCATCTCTTCAGAGGAGAGCAAGATTGGTTCTGGACCACTTTGGTAACCTTGCCAATAGTGTCTCTGATGATGACGATGATGACCAGAAGGCCTCCTTTGATCTTGAGATTTCCACGAAGTACAAGATGTGATTAATAATGACCAGAGAGCTGTAAGAAGTGGTCTTATCACTATATCACTTCATATTTTCGTAGAGGTTGATGTCAATGACCAAAGGGTGGGTGAAGAAGTGCAATATTAACTGTATAATTTTGTGGAAAAGAAAAATTTGGTCCTTATATCATATTCAACCTCCTGGTAATTTTTGTCGACCACTTCTTGCACTTTTCACAGATCCTTTGGTCATTGATGCCAATTTTTTTCAAAAAAAAAGAAGAGTTATAGTGATAAGCGACTACCTTTTACAACTCTTTGGTCATTTGGTCATACAATCACTTCTTATACTTCTTAGAAATCTCACAGTTACAGGAGCCACTTCTGATCCTGGCCATCAGAGACCCTGATGACATTGTTACCAAAGTGGCCCAGAACCAAGCTTGCTCTACTACTTCTCTTATTTAAAAAGATATTCTAAAACAAATTTGGCAAATCACCATCTAGGGTGTTACTCTCTAAATAATATTTTCTCAAGCTTCTACTATAATCGATTTCCGAAATATGGCTGACAGCCACTCTTAGTTGGTCACCTGGTACTTTTTACTTTATTAATACAATTTGTCCTACATGTGCCATGTATACATACTTTCTTGAAGTCGCTATTTTAAAAATTGGAATAAAAAATGACGTAAAAAATTAATAAAAGACAAAAACACTTCCATTTTTTACTTGCCTCTTCAAAGACAAAGTGGTTAGATATAAAAAGTTCACTGTTTTTGTACTTTCACCATATTTGCATTTATATTTGTTTGTTATTTATAGAATTACGTCGAAAATCTCGGTGTAAAAGTCCAAAATGTTGAGTACATACCAAAGCTATTACGGTGCTTAAGATTATAGTATGTGCTCTAAAGAAATTATAACAAAATGTTTTTTTTAATAGTATAAAAGAATGCTGAAGATATTTTGGTGTATTGACAAATCCGAATTTTTGTCTTTTTATATAAATGTTTTATACATCATTTATGTCCACATAGTGGTTTTTGGTAGATACTCTCAGAAAATTTTTTATTTATACAGCATTTCTTAATGTCCTGACGAGTGGACAAAAATTATTTTAAAATATAATTTTGAAATCTTTATTTGAATTCATAAAATTGTCTAATATCGTCAGTACTTCTTTTATTTCTCATACAGTATTTATTTTTTTCTTTATGCGCCACAACCCTGTTACGTTTTAAATATTATATATTATTTGTGATAATTGACAATCGGTATTACCATATCATTAAAAATACTTGTCAGTACTAGCCTTTTACTCCCTGAATCAAACAAAAGTTTTGTTGGTTTGGTTTGCTTGGTTTTTCCAGCATTTATACATAAATACTGTTTAATACATTCCTAATTTTCGTTTTTCATACTTCCATATTATTTGTCTCTATCCAAGTTCTGAAAAAAATGGTATTTTCACTATATCCCATAAGTGTTTTTAGGGGAAAAGTGTTCGTTGTATTTTAAGTTCCCTTTTTTTTCAATTCTCTTTTGAGGCGTCAATTGCCCGCTCTGTCAAAGTTCTGACCATAAATCCTCTCTTAAATAAAACTTTCAGAAGAAAAAGTGTATTTTGTGTACACAAAATGTGATTTTGTATTGTATTCTGTATAAAGTGTCTTGACAGAATGGTACTACAAACTGCACAATCCTCTTGCTTTTAATTTCGAACAACCGGAACTACTTAATCATCATCATCAGTGGTACTACAGTTATGATACCAGCGGCACAATAGTAGTTGAGCCTCCTTGGTATGTTTTGCCAGTCGTTCCATTGCCAATTTGACTCACCAATCTCCTTCGCGATCTCGTCTACGTCTCAGCCTTGGTCTGTTCCTATTCCTACTTGGAATAGGGACATAATGGTCTTAAAACAGTCCTTGGTGATACTCCAATATACGTAGAAGTCGTCTAGGAAGATAGATTTCATTCTTTATTGACAGGTATCGTATCCATCTTCCATTCCCCTCTAGAAATCTCCCCTCTCATTTGCCCATCTCTGGCAGTTAAAAATATGGGCGAGAGCGTCCGGTACCCCACAAACAGTACAGTCTGTTGAGGCAGATTTGCCTATTCTATTTGTGAAGGTGCTAAAACTACCATGTTCGGTCAGAAACTGCGTCAGGAAGTAGTCTAGTTTGCTGAACTTACATTCCCACCACGGTCTCAGATCGGGAATAAGCTCCTTCAGGCATCAATCTTTTGGATGTGTACTCCGAACCTTAGTCCTTCCGGCAACCGGAAGACTTAACCAGATACTTAATGGATTTAACTGGTGCAACCTTTACATTTTCCACTCTAAAGTGAAGAGAGGACTTTTTTCGGCTCCCTTTGACAATTAACACATCAGTTTTCTGAAGGGCTAGCTGTAGATCGTTCTCTCTTCTGATCCACCTACTAATGCGACACAGGGCTGTGTTAGCCGCATTAGCCATGTCGGTTTTCTGACTCGTCTTCGCAACTAGTGCGAGATAATCGGCATAAGCTACAAGAGTGCATCCCCTT